GGGGTCTCTCCGTGCCAGCAGGCGCCCGGCGTGTGAAGAGGAGGGCTTCGTAACCAGCAAACGCACCCTGCCCTCCCCCGGGAAGCTGGGTGTATGCTGAGCCTCTGCTGGCGGCCTTTGGCTTGGGTGAGATTTACCTGATTTCTTAAAATTCAGGCACGTGAGCAGCAGACGGTTGTCGCCTGCTCCATCGGTAGCACTGCTGGCTGTGGCACGCGTCCCTGCAAAATCTCCTCAGCTGCTCTTCCTCTTCCTTTTGGAACTATTTGTGTTGGTAGGAAGCTAGGTCCCTGGGAGGTAGTCGTTGTGGAAATGTTCTGGGTCTGCAGGCTGTGGTATTATCTTTGAGAAATACCTGGCTGCCAAATTTTGGGCCAAGTCTCCTTGCTCACATGGAAGCCATCTGGCTTGGCTGCAGCGACTGCAGATCAGGAGCCAGACTTGTGGGCTGCTGGGTGGAAGGCTGTTGTGTAAAGGCCCAGGGTTGACAACAGACCCTTCTGCTGCATCTCATAGTTTGAGACTGTTTTTCACCTTTTGGTCCTGCTTGATTCTTCCAGTTCCCAACGTGTGGATCTTCCCAGATAATCAGAAGGAGATGCTCAGTTTCAGGGTGCTCACTATTGGAGGATAAACAGGCAGATAGGTGAGGTCTGGGCATCATTGTTCATGGTTGTGCATTCACATTTGGTTAACTCACTTCAAGCAGTAAATTGCAGGCTTACTGTTGAAGGAGAGGCCTTGCAGGTGGTTTTGCAGAGGTTTGAAGTGACCAACATAGAGGCAATTGTGGAGAAATGATCGGTCTTGGAATGCTGTCAAAGCAAAGAGAACAAATAGACCACATGGGGCTGAGTAGAAAGGAGCTGATCTTCTTGGGACTTTGAATATGGTCAGAGGAACCTGAAGTTTGAGATGGGAAGGATGGAGGGAGTGAAAGGGGGGAACTAGTGTGGTGTATGAGGGAAAAAAAACAACTTGAGAATCTTGTGGAGGCTGGGGCGTGGTTGGGAGAGGTGGTGGTTGCAGTAGTTGGGGACAGTGTAACAAGAGCCAGGGTGGGCGGATCTGTGTGCAAGCCAGAGACTGGCTTATAGAGCTTCCAAAGAGGCAGCTGAGTGTGCAGGACAAAGAAGTGACAGGAATTAAGAGCAATCTGGAGTGACACTGATGTTACTTGTGGTAAGAAAAGCTACAAGCAGGATGGAAGTCTAGCATTGGCCTTGTGAACATGACCGCTTATTTGTAAGCACGCAGGCTTTGAGGGGTTGTTGGAGAATGCAGAGGTGCTGCTGAAGAGCTGCTTTTGTGGTTGCTGCCCTGTTAGGGATCAGCAGGAGGTGGGTTTGACCCCCCTCTTTCCTCATGAGCACCACTTAAGGTTGAAGGGAGCTGTCAAGGCTTGCTTCAGATCGCCCTTCTTTGGGCTGAGGTTTTGACTGATGTCCCCTCAGCCACCTCTGCTCCCAGGTCCAATGCAAGATCTTGTCCTACCTTTGGAAGCTACTGTATGAACTCGAAGTCGCATCTTTTGAAAGAGGAGAATGTGACTGAGTAGTTGCATGAAGTTCTAACTTTGCTCTCTCTTTTCTTCCAGCTACCTTCTGGAGCAGCGAGACGTGGAGGTCAATGTCCGTGACAAGTGGGACAGTACCCCCCTGTGAGTGCCGCGGCCCCGGGCGCCGCCTGGGCGGGCGGGGGAGCCGCTCGGGGCTCTTTGCTCTCCCTGCATCAGCAGCTAGGAGCACTGTTACAAAATGGCTCAGGTTATGCTTTTTGGGAGATTTGGCTATGTGTTCCTGCTTCTCTTCTCTGTCTGTGCTGTGCTAAACAGATCTGTCTCCCCATCTGAGAGATGCTGGTGTAGTAGTGCTCAGAAGGATGGTTAATTTTTGGACCAAATTACCTGGATTAAGCAGTCTGTTCTAGGCCTGTTTAGGCTCTTTCCCCCTCCAAGTCAATGTCATTCTGGCGTGTTTTTTTCAGGTGAGGGCTTGGCTTGGTGAGTACCAGGTGACTGTGGGTTCTCAGTCCTCTTGGCAGGGCTTTGGAAATGCAGTGAGGAATCCCAATGCTGGTCCTGGGGAGGGAGTTGTGACATTTTTACCTCCCTACATACCAATCCCAAAATGCATTTAGACACCAGTGATAGATTTAGAGTATGGAATAACTGGCCAAAGTAAAGGTAGACTAACATTTGCCTGCTGCAATGCATGTTACAGGATTCTCCTGGTTTGTAGGGCACTTTGAGGTCCTTGAGAATCATGAAAAGCTTAGATTGTGAAAGAGAAAACAAAGCTCATGGTAAGGGGGACTTTGAGGGCTGGATTTGTTGTACCTCAGCATGGGTGCTACTCTCTTGTTACTGCAGTGTGCAGTCAGACTGACAACGGAAAGAGCAGGGAGTGTTTTTGAGAATTTAGTGGAATTGCTGAGTGTGCATGAAATGACCTCCATTAAAGTGAGGATGGATTTGGCAGCTGGTGGTGCAGCAGAAGATGCTGAGCCCAACTGGGGACCTTGAGTTTTCCTTGCAGGACTGCAGTGCTGAGCAGTGGGAACAGATGCTGCTTTGTCTTGCTGAGGTCATACTTCTGCGCTGCTTGGTAGCTATTCCTCACTCCTATAAGCATAGGAGTCATCTTCTAAACTTATCAGGGATGGGCCGGTGCTGAGATCTGCATGCTGTGGTGTGCCACAACACTGAATTTTGCTTCCTACTGTATCTCTGATTTTCTTTCTCTTGTTATTGTCAGGTATTACGCTTGCCTCTGTGGACATGAGGAGCTTGTACACTATCTTCTAGCCAATGGTGAGCAGAAGCTTCCTGGTTATGGGCACAGTATCTTTCTCCATCCTAGTCTGTAGGGATCGTACATCCTTCTAGATGTCCTTTGTGGGAGACCTGGACACACTTTCGTGGTGTTCTGGCAGAGCAGTTGGTGTGCAAAATCAGATCTGAAAGGGTTTATCTCTTCTACAGCATTCAGAGTATCTTAATCAACCACTTGTGTAATTCTAAAGTAGCAAAATGGAGGTGCCCTTCAAATCTGTAGCAGAGTCTAACCTGAAGAGGCATCTCTTGCCTTGTACGGGGCAGAAATGTTTGTTTGGGAGGCACTGTTAAAGTTCCAGTAAGTGATTGTACAGTGAGGTTCTTCTTCCCGGAGTGCTGCTGGAGCCCTGCTGAGAGGCTTACTACCAGGGTCACTCTAAGCGAGTCATGACTTCAGGAAGGGATTTTGCTGTAGAACGGCTTTAGCTTATACAGATGGGAGGGCAGCTTAGTTTGTGTAAAAGTGGAAGGCTCTAACCCCGCCTGCTGGCCTGTGCCTGGGGTCGTTGGCAGGAGCGAGGTGCGAGGCCAACACCTTCGACGGGGAGCGCTGTTTGTACGGAGCCCTGAGCGACGCCATCCGCCGCCTGCTGAAGGAGTACAAGCAGATCACGGCCAAGTGCATGAGGAGAGACTACTACGATGTCTTCCTGCAGCGGTAAGCAGCTGAGGCAGCTCCCCCTGCAGCGCCTTCCCTCAGCCAGCCTGAGCTGTTAAGCTGGATTTTCAAGTTCTCTGTTAAGGGCAGATCTGAAAGGCAAGTGATCAGTACCCTATCTCATTTCTGGGCATGGAGAGATCCCTAAGGGGTGTCCCTTGTGCCCTAAGGGATGACTTCCAGATAGGCATACATTTAAAATATAGCCTCTGGTGACGTAGGTACAGACTGCAGAGCCAACAGAAAGCTGGTCTTTGTAATACAGAAGCATTAGACTGTCATACTTGACTACCAAACCAAAATCAAATCATTAAAGTCACATCAACAGTTTAGGATAATATATCAACTGAAATTAAGTTTTAGGCCTGAAGTGCTGTAGCCCTTGAGCTGAGGTTTGCAGCAGTGATAACAGGCATCTCATTTCTGAGCTGGAGAACCTTAAGAAGCGTCAAAGTGTCTTACAGGGACAGTGCTCTGTTCATTCTTTTTGTTCATTAAAATGTGTTTAATTTTAAGATGTTTCTGAAAGTTGCCTGTCACACCTAGTCTTAGCCTAGAGCCTGAGAAGAAGCCTGACTTGCTCTAGGAGTAGAGGAATAGTGTCAATCTTTTCTTCTTGCTGTTTTTCTACCTCAATAGTTCTGGTGGTGTTACACAGACTTTTTTGTGTGTTGTTTTTTTTTTTCTTCCCATTGGACTGATAGAAAAAAAACAACCAAAAAACAAACTAGGTTTCAGCATTTGTATCTTCAAAACTGGGAGAGCAAATAAGTCCTGACAGAGCCCTAATTTCTGAAGCCATGGGAAAAGAAGGGAGGAAGGAAACTCATTTATCTGAGTAAAGTCAGATGCTCCCTTTTGAGAAAGTAGAATTTTGCAGGGTGATTTATCACTCCTCTGGTGAGTTTGTGACTCAGATGCTGCAGGGTTGAGAGCATGTGAAAACTAAAATGTGCTGTTTTCCACTTCTCTTTCCAAAGAGACCTTTCATTAAAATTGAAACAAAGGGCAACAGTAGGAGGCAAAAAATAAACACCAAACTGTTTCTATTTTGTGTTCAGCAAGACCCTAGTAGAAAAAATGTTCTAGTGGCAGGAGATTAAGATCAGCACTCAAGAAGCTGTTCTGAGATCTCCTTGTGTGGCCCTGCGCCTTTCTGTGCACCAGTCCTGCTCTCTGGAAGGAGTATGATGCTTGATGTCTACCCACTTGACCTCTTGGGGACTTCTGTGAGGACAGAAATGCAAGGGGTGATGGGCAGTAGGAAGCACTGGTGATGGTTCCCATAAATTCTACAAGGAGCAATCTTGGTTTTTTCCTTTTAAAGAATGAGAGTATGAGCATGCAATCATAAACAGGGCTTCATCTCTGATGTGGTAACTGCCTGCATTTCATACCTGTAACATCCTTCCTTCTTCTGAGGGTGGGTGACATCAAGTCCTCTCCCATTTGCTGCATGGTTAGTGCACGCTCACTGTCAGCGTCCTGAGAGCAGGAGGCTTGCACCTCACTTTGTAGTGGGGTAGTTCTGTTTGAAAGCGTGTGCTTCTGTAGGGCTTTTTGTCAGCTGACAGTGTCAAAGCAAATTTAACCTTTGGAGATGCAATAGGGATTTTAAAGGAACTAGCAGCCCCAGTGCTCAGGGGTTCACCTGAGGCAGGAAGGTTTCATTCTTCTTCAGCCTCTCTTTTGCACTAATGAAACTGCTTTGAGTCATTGGAGGAAGGGAGAGATCCCAGTCTGGTATGTGAAGTACCAGCCCCTGTGCTGGCTTTGTAACCAGGCAGGGAGAGACTGCAATGCCCAGAGGTATTTGTTCATTTAGACCCAGTTGTGCCCTGTCCCCAGTAGCTTTACTCTGTTCTCTCCTTTCTCATCCTGCAGTGAATTTCCCTCTCTTTGTTCCTCACAGGTTGCTGGAGCAGGGTTACCAAAGTGACATCGTTTTCATTGTCCATGGCAAGTCCTTCTGTGCCCATCGCTGCGTTCTCGGCGCGCGCAGCCCCTACTTCGCAGAAATGTTTGAGACCAAATGGAAGGGGAAGAACATGATAGTGTTGAAGCATCCACTGGTGAGCAAGGCTGTGCTTCCAGCTCTTTCCTTTCTTTTCCTGCATCTCCCTGGGTGAGAAAAGTGAGTAGGAAGGACAGTTTGAGGGTTAACTTCCACAGTGAATAACTCCTGGAAGTCAGAATGACCCTAGTCAAGGAGAGTGGCTCTTGGAGGCACTTCATGCAGTAAAAAAACATCTTGTTCTTCTAACAAAAGGCTGTAGACTGCATATTTTTCCCTTTGTTCCCTTGTCAGGGGCTCAAACATATCTTAATTAATTGCAGTAGCAGGTAGCTGTTACCATCTGCCAGCTGCGTCACGACTCCTCTGTGGGATGAGTTGAGTCTGTCTAATTCCTGGTGGACAGGTGGTCTGTAGTGAAGACCACCTCCATAATTGGCACTAATTGAGTCCCTTTTGTTGCCTTTGCAGTAAGAACTAAATAGACCATAAGTGCATTCCATCCATTAATCACCAGTACTGTGGCATATGTTTCTATAGCTTGATTGTGGCTGTGCAAAACCTCTCATGACAAACATGCTTCCAGATTCTCAGCACATTACTTAATGTCTCTCCTTTCTCTTTCCTTCATCTCAAATTAAGTGTTGGAAGTATTTGCAACCTGTGAAAGACTGGCTTTTGCAGAGCCTGTATTACAACTGTGTGCTTGGAGCACCTCTGTTAGTCAGATCCTGTCCCCCAGGCACATGTATTAGTATCAGCTGGTACATTTGAAGCGCTGTGTAAGCCAAGTGGAGTGGCAGCATTAGTTACACAAGGAGCAAGGAAACTGGGTGCAGTGTGTGAGTTGCCATTTAAGTGGGATTTGTTCAGGTTCGTTTTTCTATCCAGGCAAGTTTCAAGCTTTGTATTAAGTTCCTGGGAATTCTAAAGGTAACTTTGTCATGTTTTATTTTAGATAAATCCAGCCGCCTTTGGCTCTCTTCTGCAGTATCTATACACAGGTAAATGACTTGCTGTCTCATGTGTGTATACCTGGCTGGCAGGCAGCTCCCTGTGCCTCTGCCATGGCACACACTTGCAGACAGCCCTGTTTGGGTACATGAGCTGCCAACACATCCTCTCTGCTGGCAGAAGGGGAGAATGTGAGCAATCCCCAGCTCTTCCAAGTTGTTTGTACCTTTTGCCAGTTGTTGTCCTGCCAATAACTATATAGTCAATCAAAAAGAAATCAGCTTATGTTGATTGGTTGGATGGATGTAGAGAATGTGTTTTTAACTTAAAGAAGGTAAATCTGCCATCTCGGATAGCAATCCTCTGAGGTGTGAAAACCCAGATTTCCATGTTCAACATTTTCGGTCTGGCAGACGTGAGCAGTGAGTGCTTAATGCTTTGACTACTTCATAATATTTTTTTCTGAAAAGAAGCTGATCCTAAACCTTCTATGAAAATGCCAAATGCTGTATTTTAGGCACATTAAGTGCTGAACTATTTCAGGCCAGGAGATGGTGCCAGAAAATAACTATCTTCAAGGCTTTGCTTCCCCAGTTCAGTGTTTTTAGAAATGTTCCTTGCCATGTTTTCAATGATGGTAAAATATTCTAAGATGACAGGCTGTGAACCTGAAGTCTTTTCTTACCCAAAGCCAGATAGCCCGTGGTGGCAGTCATACATGCTCCTGTTGTGCTGCTATTTTTTCTTTCCTGAGGGAACTGGACATCTTTTTTTTTTAAGCCTGTTTGGTCATTGGCCTCTTGAATAAAGCTATTAGAGTAGACACTGAAAAGTGGGACTATGAATTGGATACCAGAGATTCTCTGAAGTGGTGGATGACTCTTAGCTTCTTGCACTGAGTTGTAACTGGATGCTAAAAAATGAGGCAATGTGTCTAGTCGTTGGATTTCTGTGCCATCAAATCTTCAGTCCTTAATTTTTGCCATTTTTACACCTAAGTGGTATGGGTTAAAAGACCTGGCTGCATTTCTTCTTGGCAGGTCGTCTTGATATCGACGTAGAATATGTGAGTGATTGCAAGAGGTTAGCCAAGCAGTGCCGGCTGCAGGATCTCATAGATGATTTGGAGACCAAATGTAAAAAAGTCTATGAATTTGGTAAGTACTTGTTGCTCTTTCTGCTGTGCCTTTATGCCCTTTCAGGGAGAAAGAGGAAAGTGTGATGGTAAACGTTGCCCTTGGTGGTTCCAGAAAAGTATCCTATTGTGGAATTCCCATGTTTGCATGATAGTTTTCAGTCATGGGATCTCTGTAGGGCAGCTGGAGTGGTTTCTGACACATGCATGTTTATAATTTGTATTGAATGTTTTCATTATAGTAGAACAGCCAAGGCAGCAGCACTTGGTTGCCAGACATTCAGTGGAACACTGTGGGGTATATTGGCAAGTGCTTTTGGGCAGGGAGCTTGTTTGAACCTCTGGGGAGATAAAATATGTACAATCAGAAGTCTTTCTTTTCTGAATTTTTACCCCTAACTGAAGTAAAATATGTGATAATTGGCTTACAACGGATGCAGAGAGAAATCCAATGCTGCTTTAAAAGCAGAGGAGAATTTCTGAAAGCACGTGTGTATTTGTAACACATGTATGTGCCAAACCTTAAATGATGCAGCCCTCTGTTTAAGGGCTTGTTGTTATCCAAAGAGCTTGTGATCTAATCGTGACATCAGCTTATTGCATGAAAGCTAACAGTTGGAGTTTATCATTCATCTCCTTAGTTCAAGCTAAAGGACATGTGAAATAGAATCAAAACTGCACAAATAGGGCAGAACAGTGTTAGTCATTAAGCAAAAAGAAAATTATCTGGTAACAAAACCTTTAGGCTGAAAACATCTGATTCTCATTTCATGCTCCAAGTTAACTCCTTTACTTCAGTCAAGTTAATTTTGGTTTGAGAAGAGAGTCTAGTCTGTAGCTTTTAAGTCAATAGCATTTTCTTCCTGGATCTAAGAGGTGAGGATGTAGCTATTCCACCTTTCCCTTTTGATTTATGAGTTCTGATTATTCAGCCTCCTGAAGCTACAGGGCTTGACAGGTAAGAAACAATACTTCTGGCTCAAGAAATTCCTTTTCTGGAAATCACACAGAAGATATCTCAGGGCAGATATTATCATGTGTGTGTCTCCCCTTAGGCATGTGCCATTGTTTGGTGGTGGTGGGCTGCAAGGCTGCCAGGGTACAGCTGTTCCCATGTAAACCAGGGGCAAGTCCTTACGGAAGCTATGTCATAAGTTTTATCTCAGCCATGTAATCACAAATGTAGACATACATCTGAAGAGATTAGAAATGTGGTTTTTGCTGTAAATAATGTAAGAGATCACTTTGTGTATTAAGTAAGTAGTGGAAAATGGGAGTGGTGGTGAGTACCATGAACAGAAAATAAAAACTGCTTGGACAATCAGTTAACAATTATCTTTTAGTATCTTTTGATATTGGAGTAATCCAGTGAGATGCTGGAGATTTCTTTTTTCACCTGTTTTATTCTTTTTATCTCCTGGGGTATAGCTGAGACCCTGAAGGCAACCTTTCCACCCTATACATCAAGTTAAAATCTCATATGAGATTGTGGGAGGAAAATAAGGTGTGAATAGCTTGCTATTGGTCTGAAGCCATTGCATAGTATGTCATTGGCAACTTAAGGATCATGAAGTCCAGGGGTTAAATTTGTGAAACTGGAAAAAACCTAACTTCTTGGTGGGGTTTAAAAATAGGAGATGAAGTAACGTTTCTGGTTGGTTGAGAGTTTCAGATACAAGCTCACTTGGAAATGCAATATGAACTTTCTGGATGACACTGGACAAATAATTTAATTTTTGTGTACTTTGGGAGGCAACAGTTGTTCTTTGTTTCTAGAGCCTGACAGAAGATGTAATCAATGGGTGGTATAAAGCACTGATGGAAGTACTAGGCTTGATTTTTATTTATGACAGGTTGGATTTGAATGAATAGGCAAAACTACTAATAGGTCTGTTTAAAAGTTTGTTTCTCATATCAGATCTCATGTGGAAGCCAGAAAAGCTTGATTCTCCAGAAAGCAGCATGTGTAAGAACTACAGAAGTTAGACACTAGGTGAGATTTAGATCGCATCAGGTCTGGCACTTGACAAAATCATTACTGTTCCTTCTAGTGCATGAGGAATCTCTGCTTGTTCAAAGTACTTTCTGTGGAACAGACATCTGATTCAGGTCTGCAGAGCAGGGGCATGTCTTCCATCTATATTTTAATGTTGAAATGTGCCTAATAAACCAACATGAATTCAAGCCTGTGCAGCTCCAGTGGATAATTGCAGTCTCTGCAATCCCATTATCTAGAGTTAATTGGCAGTTCAAAAGCACTTAGTGTCTTGGCATGCACAGACAGTAGTTTAGAAAACCCTGAAGAGGATGACCCGGTGCCTTCTGTTGCACCTTTAGTGTGAATGCTTGCATACCTTCTCCCACCTGTATATTGTGGCTATAACAAGAAAAAACTGTTGCAGTGTTTGGAAGAACTCAGACAGAGTTTGTTCCGGTCAAGCTGCAGGTACCCCCACTTCTTTTAAAAGTGGGGGTACCTGAAAATAAGTATTCTGCAGTTATTTCTACAAGTGTTAGGACAAAAGGTTGAGAGCAAGGTTTGCAATGCTTGCCTTCATAGCAGAGGCACTGAATGTACAGAATCTGTGGTTACAGCTAGTTGTGGCATTGGGAGGAGGAAGTATAAAGCAAGTATCGGAGTGTGGCATTGTTTTGGAAAGGTTTGGGAGCTTGGTGGGTTTTTTTGTGGCCCATGTTTTTTTGTAGTGCCTTGTCTCAATTGAAACAAAAGGTTATAAAGAAGCATTGAGCAGTAGAACAAAGGCGGCTGATGAATGGGTAGGTGACATTCAGTGCTATACAGCTGGGCTAGACTAGGAAGAAAGACACAGTCCTCCATCCTCAACCATATTTGGGTTATTCCCTCCAGCTCCTTGCATTACTTACGTTGCTCTTTTCAGAAAACCCTTCATTCCTACTTTTTGCAAGGAGGCGACAGTCCCTGCTGCTTGCTTGCAGCCAGCAGCTTACTCCTGTCACTTTGATTTTTATTGTTTCTGTTAGGAGACAGTTGCATGTAATAGCAAATGCTGTGCTCTTGGATGTGAGAGATGCAGCATCTGAAGTGTCTTGTGATATATTTTCTTCTCAGACAAATCACTGTTCTTTCATGTCACTGTGAAAATATGCAGATGCTTTGTAGATCCCAGGAGAAGCAGTCTTTCCCTTGACTACTGCTTAAAACTTGCTGGGTCCATTAGTGCTTACAGAGCCTGACTGATTTGGTGACTGCTATAATGAGCACTACACAAATACAAATGATTCTCTCTGCCCTAAATGATTGGTAATTGCACAGTGAGAAATTTCCTTCTTTCAAACTGGTCTGTAAGTGGACAGGGCTCTTTGAGAAAATGCACTCAGTTTTGTTTGTGTTGGTCCCAGGTCTCCTCTTGGCTTATTTGCCCTGGAAGTCATCTATCTCAAGGAGTGTTTAGTGCTAATAGAGCAGCCTGTCTCCTTGCCGATGTAGCTCCATGGATAGCAGTGATGGTACCTGACTGCCTTGTATTGGCAGATTATCCTTCCCTTTCCAGTATCTTTCTGGGATATCCAGCCTATTTGTGGTGCAGTGGTGGCTTACCAAAGGGTGCAGCAGTAATGGGGACGAGGGGGTGGAGAACTTGTCTTGTGGTATATTGTGGTCTTGTTTCGCCCACGGCGCAATGGAGTCATCTGATGAAGCTCGTGTGATGCTGTGTAAAGTGTCAGGGAAAATGAGGTCTCCAGGTGGTGTGATTCACCTGTGAGGGGTTTGAATGCAGTGAATCATACCTGTCAGAAGGTGTTCTGAGGCTTCAGCGTGGGGCCGCTTGACACTGTTGTCCTTGAGAGTTAACTCTGTGTCTGGCTCGCTCCCAACACCATCTTGAGCCTTCCTTGCCACAACTTTTCATTTTCCAGTGGTGCTCCATGGTTTTTTCATGTGTTTCCCTGTCTGCCAGGGACTGTTGAATGTTTTACGTGCTGCAGTCCTCACAAAGCATGCTGAGCTGAAAACAAGCCCGAGGTAGTGAGCTGTGGGAGGGGGGTGGCCAGAAAGAGGAAAGGATGCACTGGCAGTGGTTTTGTAACACAGTAGCTGGGTGTAGTTTGGGCTGCCTGTAGTTTGAAGGTGTGGGGGTTGGCTTCAGTGAGCTCCACACAGCAAGACCGTAGAAGCAAAATTTGTGTGTTTTGCTTCCCCTCTATTGGGCTGTTTAGTTGTGTAAGGCAGTAGGGCAAGTCAGGAAGACACACTAGGTCTGAAAAAGGCAAATGAAGTTGTGCTCTCTGTAGGGTTTATTTGATCTCTTTGGTGGTAATGATGCTTGTTTAATGTTTGCAAAGAACAGAAACACACTCAGGAGTCTGGGTGTTTTGGGGGCCTTTGTGCTTTGGGGATCTATAGGCAGAGAGTAGAGGACAGACTCAGGTGCACAATACTTATTACATAAACAAGAACAAATCTCTTTGTTCCCTGGAGTGAAGTTAGGATGGTATAACTGAAATGGGACCTGTGAGAGCATGTGACAGAGCAGAGAGGCATGGAAACAGCTTTATTTTAACTAAATACTCCCTGGCATGGGCTTCACCTTAGGTGACACTGTCAGTTATTGGGGTGGTGGGTTGGGGAAGGCATTGTGAGTGGCTCCTGCAGGGGTCAGAGGCAGCCTCATCAATGGCCCCCAACTGTAATGGATGGCAGGGATGCCAGAGAGCAAGCTGGCCTTGAAATGTGGCTCTGGCAATTTTATTTGCCACAGCTGATACTGCAGCACAAGGAAGTGGAGGTTTGAGAATAGACAACAACACGTGCATCCCCTTCCAGCCCTGCTCGCCCGGCTCTGCTGAGGGGTGCTATGTCCACGTTTGGGTAGAAGAATCATGTGCTTTGCAGTAAAAGCCAAACAGCAGTAATACTGATTTTTCCTGTAGTGTCTGTCTTTTCTCTAAATGGGGAAGAATGTGGAGGAATTTAGGCATCTCTGCTCTTTTTTTTTTTTTTTTTTTGCTTCTTCCAGTCTCTTCCAAGCCAGGGACCTGTGTGAAAGTGCTGACGATTGAGCCCACAGGTAACTGCCAGCTGCAGGAAGATCTGGCTCTTCTAGCAGACTGCGCCCTGCCAGCCGAGCTGAGGGTAGGGAGCATTTATTTGTCTTCTGGTCTGTGGGGGCTGGGGGTGTGCTCGTGTGTCCAGTTCTCTCCCTTCCAGTTCAGAGCTTGCCTGTTTGCTGGTGCTCCAAATCCTGAAGGCCTTTTCTTGCTTGGAAATGCTATCAGCTTGTTTAGTGAGGCTGTCAGTGCTGGGCCTTTCCCTTGGATTTTTCCCTCAGCAGAGATCTTGGTAAACAAAACCTATGTTATGTGGTTGGTGGGTTTTTCCCTGTGACTACAATGGGACAAGAGTTGGACCCCAGCTCCTTTTCCTTCTCTCTGCCATCCTTGTTGAGTCAGAAATGTTTTGTCAATGGGCATCGGTACCCAAAGGAGCATATAGGTGGAAGGTGGCTTGCTGGGCTTGCTAGGATCTGGCACCCCTCCGTGGAGAGATGCTCTCAAACTCTGAAAATGTTTCATTGCTCTGAAGTGAATTTAACTTGACTGGAAATGGATTTGACTTTCATAAATACATCTTTTTGACTCTTAGAAATAGCCCACAGACCACAAGTGATCACTATGTTAAAATACACTATTATTAGTTAGGCTCATACACCTGGATCTGGATCCAATTGCAGGAGGAGAGGAAAAATATTAGTGGTCTTCATTCTCCCTGCATCTGTTGTTTTCTGTAATACCAGCAGATTCACTTTGCTGTTATTACTATCCTTTTTTATCTGTTTCTAGTACCAGCTATTGAATGTAATAACACGAACTCATTTCAGGTGGCTGCTGTGCCCGGAGGTTGTATTATTAGTGATATAACAAAGTTTATTGCTGTTATTTTTTTTTTTTTTTTGTCCCCTGCTGAGTAGACTTGCCTGGAACAGAGAGGGTGTGTGCATGGGTAAGGTTTCTTACCCATAGTAAGCCTGTTTTGTGCTGGCTTTTGGCAAACTTATTTCTCCGACTACTGAGCATATTATAGAGGGAGTGTTTCTCCACAAACCAATGCAAAAATCTTTCCTATGTAACCTTCCCCCCCTGCCCCGTGCATTTATTTGTGGCTTTCAATATGCTTTTCTGTATGTTTGCAGGCTTTAAAGGGAGGTAATACTGTAAGAAAGCCTCAGATTTACCTCACTAAGAATTTAAAAAAGGATTGTGGACCCAAAACCAATGAGTTTTATGTAAAATTGAAGTCACTTCACAAATAAAAATAATGCTTTGTTTGATTGCTTGTTCCCAGAACTTGACAGCATGCTCCCCTCAGGTTAAGGTTTCCTTCTCAAGGGTTAGCAATACTTCCCTTTTCTTAAGAAAGAAGAGTAAGAGCTGGCAGGAAGACATGAGTTGGAATGATGTAATCAGCTGACAGCACTGTGAATGCCTCTGAGCTGTGGTTTTCTTCCTGTGTTCTTAGATAGGAGGAAGGCAGTTAGTGAAGCATTAGACAACTCATGACTGTAAAAGTGAAGAGGGCAGAGGCACATGCCTGTTCACTGAAGAATTTGTATGCCCTGCACAAAAGTGGGTGCTTTGTTTAAGCCTGGTAAATTCTAAAAGATTCCTGGTTTTCTCTCTCTAGGTATATATTTTTTTTTTTTTCTGTGAACTTATAAGAATATATGAACAAAGCTCTTCATCCTGTTGCCATTTATAGCTCATCCCAATGTTTGCAAATTGTGAAGTTCAGTGAATTGCGCATCTCTGTTCTGGGAGAGAGGAATCGTCCTCCTTCTTACAGGGTGTGATGCCATACAAGGAACAGGATACAAACCATGTAACCTAAAATGTCAGGAACAACTGAATAGTCATGTGCAAACATCTGTGCTCTTGAGAGAAACATATGTTTTTTTTTCCAGCCTGTGCAGAACAAAGCAGGTATTCGGCTGCTGGATAAAGGCCAGAATTTCCAGAATTTGGCAGGAGACATTCTGAGCTGCTGCATGTCACGTGGTGCTGTATTACATGAAATGGGGATATATACGACTTTGTTTCACTACAGCCAAATAATTTGCATGTAATCCCTGATATGAATGGTGCAGCACATTCTGTACATTCCAATTCCATAGCTCGGTAACATGTTTTATGATTAAAACAATTAACATTTGATAGAGTGAGAATTATCTATTCTTTGAACTCTTAAACAAGTTTGTAGTCTTCATAGCTTGTTTCTCCTTCCTGTTTATACTTGAAAGCTGTTTCTCTTTCAAGTATTTGTTTTATAAAGTGTGATAGTTTTCTTTATTTTGTTTTAAACTAGTAATGGCCAGAATTTTTCTGACCGCAACAGCTGCTTCTTTGGTTTGTTGCAATGAAGTTTACCAAGAACCGACTTAAGTAAAATACCATCAAAAGCCAGGCAACTGTCAAAACCCATGTGGCTTTCCACTGTCTGCCTAGCTTTTCATCTCATGTCTGCCAGTTGACCTCTGAGTTGGAGACTCCAAGGCTTCCAGTGTATGAGACTGTAGGCACATCATTTTCTTGTAGCTGTTTTTTTCATCACCTTTTGACTGAAATCTTATTTTTCAAACCAAGATAAAATCTGACTTAAAAGGAGCAGAGTCTGATGTGAAATAAATACTGGTCTCTCCTTCTGTATTGGCATTTGGCATGGCTGCAAAAAAAGTGACCATTTGTCACTTTGGGGGTGAAGCTAGATCTTGTCGTGCATAGAAAGAACAGTTTGAAACAAGTAGATTGGTTCCACCTTGTCTGTCTCAGCACCTGTGTGGTGGGGTTGTCCATAGGAGTAGCTGTGCTTTGCTTCGCCCATTTGGCAGAGGCACATTAACTGAACTATTTATAATATGCTTCCAGTTTTATTGTTTTTATCCAGTCTGCTTGTATCTGGTTATGGGCTCATAATCTTCTCTTGGATCACTAACCCCTGTATTTTGTCTTGTAACTTATTTATTATTTTCTTGCTGAAAGACTCTGGCCAAGGTACAAATTACTGCCACTGATTTGTTTTGTATGTTTTTGCCTCCGACATTTGTCTTTAACCACTAATAGCAAATTTATAGCAGCAAAGGCTTGGTCCTCTGGGTGATGGCTGGAAGATCCTGTGAATATTCAAACAGTCTTATGCTAAAGAGATGTTGAGAATATTTCTGTATGGTGAATGAGTTATTGTGAATGTGTTTGCACCTCGTAGTGCTGCACTCTTCTGTGCTTCCACATACTTGACTTTGGCAACTGTGCTTTGCCTGGACAGAGGTATTATAAGGAGGTTGCCTGAATGGAGGAGTGGGAGGAATAAGCCAGTATTCTGCAAGGAGACCCTGAAAGGGAGATTAAATTCCTCAAGCGTGACCAAGGAGGAGAGCAGACGTAGTAGAGACTTAAAAGGGGAGTAAAAGGGAAAACTCCACAAAGCCACTTGGTGCTGAATAGGAAAGACAAAGACATGAACCTGCTTTCATAGTAGGGATTAGAAGTGACCTTATAAACCTGAGCATCAGAGCAGGGTCCCGGCAAGGCTAGAAGTTGAGCCTGGAGGAGTTGGTAATTTGGGAGACAAACTCTGGGACAAAGAAAACTCCTGGGGATGGATTTCTTTTAAAGCTCTACCTCAGGATGATGCAAGGGCAGCAAAGAAGGAATGCACGTGGGAGATGTGGAGTTAGTCTCAAAATTACTGTGGCACAAATAGTGGCATCCTATCAAAGCTCGCAAAGTTGCAGCCTTGGAATTCCTGTTGGAATTTCTAGGAGAAGGCATGGAAGCTGTGGGCATAGGGTGGGGGTAGCAGCAAGGCAAAGAGAGCAGGCAGGCAGATCCTGACTGCTGGTGTCTGTAATGCCATCCCTAGGAGCCTGGCTGCAGGGCCCCACACCACCCTTGGTACTGGCCTCAGACATGAGACAGATAACAGCCAAGTGGCAGGATGGGGAACCTGCAAAGGGGACAGTCTGATCTCATCTGCAATGCCCAAGGTGCCCTTTCTGTTGCAGCTGTATGAAAGGCAGGTAACAGCTCAGGTGGGGAGTGTTCCTCAAACAATTCAAACTGACACATCTCTTCTGGGAGACAGTTTCCCCAATGAAGGAGGACTAAGGAGAAAGGTGCTATGGAGAGGCAGCATTACTGTGACAGACGTGCACAATTTGAATGTCACTGGGCTTCCTTTCCTGCAACCAGGAAAGAGAAGCGGCCAGACATTGCTGTGGATAGACAAAGAGCTTGGTGAGTGGGTCCAGATTGCCATGCCCAGTGGTGGAGTGAGCTTTTACCAGCTTGGTGCCTCTCCACATCCTAGAGCCTGTGTTGTGAGAGAAACCTCGCTGCGTGTGAGCTGAGCTTGGCTGAGAGCACCAGCCCAGTGTTGCAGGCTGAGTCTTTGTCCAGTTTGGGAGGGAGGAGTCATCTGGCTCCTCAGTAAAGCTGAAAGTCAGTGGTTTTCAGTTAGGAGGGAGGCAGGCGTGTTAGAAATGGTGCTTAGTAGTCTGTGACTGGGAGACTGGAGTCAACCCAGGGTTTTCCCAAGTGCAAATTTGGGATGTAACTTTTCTGGAGGAGAGACTGCAGTAATAAACTCCTCAGCCCAGGCACCTCAGGGGCATGTGTTTAGAAAGCAAGAACAAGGGGAGACTTTTGCTTCCAGAGAAAAATTGCCGTGGTTACATGCTTTGGAATATAAACTATTTTTTTTAACAATTGAATTACCCTGTAAATAGTATAAGGTGGATATGAAAATACTTGGAAGTGTCATTTTAAATGTAGGCTAAGAGAATTTTTTTTTTTTTTTTGTATGCGTGCTGTCTTTGCTGGCGTGTGGGACTGGGAGGAGGTGTGTTGGTGTTAAAATAATTCACTGGAGTATTAATACTGCAATAACACTATCTGTGGCTGTAAATCAAGTCAGTAATGTAAAATGTGCTTTAGAAATGTTTGATTATCCAAGTGAGGCAGTAATTATAGCCAAACCATTTCAAACTGGTGTATGCATCTATGTAATTTTTATGTTACTGCATATACCAGTACATCTACACAGTAGAGGGCTAGTCCTAAACTGTAGTATGCTTATGATACCCACTACATGAAGTAACCTTTGCCTCCTCTTGGTTATCTGCCTTGGATAGGTGGCACAGAAATGCTTTGCAGAGGTGTATGGAGGGTCAGAGAGTTGCCATGGATAGGGGAGGCAGCTGTAACTTGTACCAGGAATATCTCTGTCAGGAGTGCAAGTTCCCTACATTGAAATCTGTGTTCTGAGCATCTCTGGTGCTCTTCGTATGCTGAGGGAACAGATGAATGGTGGCTTCTGGAAACACCAGGAAGTTCAAACTTGGGACCCTGAGCAAGTTTAAAGCATGGATGTTAAAGGTGGGGTTTTCTGGTTTCTTTTCTCAGGTTGGTTTTGGGGAGTTGCCATTTGACAGCACTGACAACTTTGACAGTTGTCCCGACGTGTGTTTCCGGGTGGCAGATTACAACTTTTTGTGTCATAAGGTATGTGCCTGTGCTGTCTTCCTTCTCCTCCCTTTTTGCTGTGAGTCTAGGCTGCCTGTCTTCTCCACTCATCCAGTGCTCGATTTGCTGCAGAGGCAGCATTGCTGCATCAGCTGGGAAACCAAAAGTCTCACTGCAGATGGAAACTGTATTTAAAGCATTTAACAAAATGGCAAACCCTGCCTTTTTTTGCAGAGGTGAGGAGACAAATACATTGATTCAGCTACAGCATTCACAGCTGCAAAATCTTCTGCTGGCTTCTGAGTTCAGTGTCTAGAGAGGAGCATGTTTGGTCTGCAAGTGAACAGCAATAAGTGGATTTGGAGATCCAGCTTCAATTCAACTGCTGCCCTAATGTCGTTTTACTTTGGAATCTCTTTAGTTTACAGGTTGTATTTTGATTCTGAGGGTAGGTCTGGATAGAAATAAGGTATGGAAAGATGTTGGAGAGACAGCTGCAAAAATATAGGAGAATCAGAGTTATAGAGTCTAAAATTCTACAGTCTTTGAGCTGCTCTGACAGCTGGTTGGTAGTGCTGTTTGGTGCAGTGAGAAAGATGCTAGTGTTTTGGTCTTTCTCTCCTCTCCAGGCATTTTTCTGTGGTCGCAGTGATTATTTCAAAGCCCTTCTTGAAGACCATTTCAGTGAGAGTGAGGAGCTGCAGACACAGCCCAGCATCCCTGTGGTGACTCTCCACAACATCTCAGAAGACATCTTCATCCGGGTCCTCTACTACATCTACAGTGACGACACAGAGGTGAGGCCAGCCCTGGGGCCTTCCCTCCTGTGCTGGTTGGTTCTGGAGGGCTTCACAGCATTGTTTTCCTACAGCCTCTTGAGGAGGGGGTGTGGTTTCTTAAATCCCACTGCCCTTCTCTGCTGATTCACTTCAGTCTGAGGAATCCGCGTACTGGGACTGGCTGTTAGCCAGGCAGGGATCTAGTTTATATGCATGATATTCAGGAAGAAAATACCTGGTGTTTCATCCCAGAATCAAAATTTTGAAATTAGATTGCACATTGTATGTTGGCGTGATAAATGCAGGGCTTTGCAGATTTCCCTCTTGGCCTCTGTGGAAGGGTAAGGTGAGAAGCTGCCAGTAGATGGCAGGTTGGACACATTTTGAGAGATTCTGCTTATTTACTCTTGGCATCATAGTCCATTTTTCCTTTTTTAGCAAGTCATTATTTCTACTCTTATTTATTGCTGGAGTGGGCAAAAGCTCCACTGGGAGAGAAACACATTGCTGTGCTCAGTATCACAAGCAGTAACAAAATGGGCCTAACCCACCTCGTTTTCAGCCTAATGAAAGGTGCAGCCAATCTCAGCCTTCAAGCAGCTTCCTGCTTCAGTTTTGTGGGAGATGCTTTCAGCAGGTCTAGCTACAAGATGCCAGAACACCCTGTGGCATGGGGGCCAGCGAGCAGAGACGCCGCTGCCCTGCCAGGGTCTCTTCTCCCGAGCAGTGTTCACGCTCTGGCTGAGGTGCCAAGTACAGAGGGTGCATGCAGCTGTGACCTTGTTTCTGCTGATCTCTCCACCTCAGGGTAGCGGCAGGGAACTGGTGGTAGAAGGAGGTGTATGTAGCAAGGGTTGCCATTGGCGTGCCAGAGAGCAGAGGCTTCCCTTGTCTGCACTCTTCCCTCAGCCATGCGCTGAAAGGGTGGGCAGAGAGGGAGAGAAGCGTGTTGGGGTTGTGAAGATCCTCCTGATCTCGTGGCTGCAGTGCAGCATGCCCCTGTTCCCTTGCACCTCTCCAGTGTGCCTGCCCTCCTCGTGATGGCTCACAGGAGAGTTGTTTCCCAAGCAGCCATCCCTTTCCAAGTGGTGTCTCAGCTGCCCTGTCTGGACTTGAAGCAGGAGGACAGAACAGTGTGTAGGAGTTGAAAGAGTCTTGCCCATGTTTTCTATGCAGAATAGAGCCATCACAGAAACTAGCTTGGATTTCCAACTGAGCAGCCAAGATAGGAGCTCTTGCAGAGAGTTCCGTCATGAAAAACTACTCAGAAGAATGGTCAGGAAAACAGGATTATAGCTCGAGTTCCACATTTAAATGTGGAGTGTTCTCCCTGCCCTGGGTTTCTCTGCCAGTACCCCTAATTCCCCATTTACCCATTTCATTTTCCAAAGATTTTGTAAGTCTTTTTGCCACGTAGTAGTGATAATGCTTGTGGTTGGAGGGAAGACTGTGTGCAGACGACAGGAAGGGTTCCAGGCAGAAAGAGAAGCTGCTGATCAGAGTACTTGTGTGGGCTCAAGAGGAGCTTTTGGAGAAACATTTGCCATGTTTGTCCTCAGTCAAGCAGTTGAGAGCTGCAGCCATCAATACTACTGACTTAGACACCTCCAACTTGTGATGTTCCTGGAGCTTATGAAAGGACAAAGACACACTTGATTAATAACCCCAAGAGCTTTGTTACAGCACTCATGGTACGCCTCTAATACATCTTGAATCCTTCTGCACAGCTGTTGCAGGGTGTTTTACAGCTGAGACATTTGCTGTGAGAAGTCTCTCCAAACACTGGTGTGGACAGCTGTAGGGGAAGAAATAATCAGCCTTCTGCAGAGTGGGCAGCCACACGTGTAAATATGGACAGCAGTGCTTGCTGCTGGACCATGCTGCATCCAAGTTACCATGCTGCAGTCTAAACCAGTGTGCCTTGATCTCACCTCCTCCACAGCCAGGGTGTGCTGCATCCCGCAGATTCTCTGTCAGAATGGATGTGGGTAACTGTGCTCTTTGCACTTCACGTTAGCAGGAACAGAACTGTGCAGAGAGAGGCTCTAGTTCCAGGTTAGTGACGCAGATGGCTGACTTAAAATAGATTTGCCCAGCCAGGGAGAAGAGACTTAGTGAAGCTGGAGGTGGTGTCTTCAACATTATCTACAGTATTTTTTTTTTATCCTCGGATCACTTGCAAGGAACAAAAGTATCCAAGAGAGAAATGGGAGAGTGGCTCTCTAGCTCAAGAGCCTGAAAATGTTAAAGGCTGTTCAGAACAGTGTAAGCTTGAGCATCTGGTGTATGAATTTAGTTCAGTTTGAATGCCTGTTAAAGAGCAAGTAGTATTTGATGTGCAGTCTGGTCCTTACCTAGCTGAGCCTCACTTACAGTTTACCTGGGGTGCAGTTTTCTGTCCTTGGATGGATCCCTGTGCCAGGGAAGTTGTGCAGGCTGATTTAGTGGAGCCAGTTTGAGGAAGGAACTTGAGAGAATCTCACTTTTTTTTACAAAATGAGTCCAGCAGTACAAAATAGCATGAAAATCTTTGAAGGGTCTTTAGTACATCTGCTAAAAGCTACCTTCTTCCACTGCCACACTGAACATTTCTTAGCAGCCAGCTTTCAGCTGCACTTAGGTGTTTTAGCTGGAAGGGTTAGCTGCAGCATGGCAAACTTCTTGCTTTCTGCTGAGCAAGCTGCTCTGCAGCATTTTAAACTCCTCTGCAGTAACAGAGTAGAAGACCTAGCCCTGAAAGACTGAGCTCCTGCCTCTCTGTAGGACTGTTAACACTTGTCCAGTAATGGGCAAAGCGACAATTTAGGGAGTCTCTGTTGAAACACAGGAGAAGGCAGCTTGGCAGAGCCAAGTGAGATGGGTAGGACAAGTAATTCTCCTCTTTCCATTGCCAGCTGTCCCCAGAAAACGCCTATGAGGTGCTGTGTGTGGCAGACATGTACCTGCTGCCCGGGCTCAAGCGCCTTTGTGGCAGGACCTTGGCTCAGATCCTCGATGAGGACAACATTGTCAGCATCTGGAAGATTGCAAAGCTGTTCCAGCTGACCCGACTGGAGGACCAGTGCACCGAGTACATGGCAAAGATCATCGAGAAGGTACCAGAAACACTCCCCACTCCACTTACCACGTGCCCCTAAATTGAACTGCACAGTGAGCCATAGATACAACAGATTTAATGGTCGTGCTTTGGTCTGTAATAAATGGTTGCCCTCTCTGGTTTAACATGCTTCCTGAAAATCATAGTATCATTAAAGCTGGAAAAGACCTCCAAGATCATCAAGCCCAACCATGAACCCAACACTACCATGACCACTAAACCATGTCCTGAAGCACCATGTCCACATGTGTTTCGAACACCTCCAGGATGTTAAGTGCTATCCTGAGCGGTTATAGCACCATGACCACTAAACCATGTCCTGAAGCACCATGTCCACATGTGTTTTGAACACCTCCAGGGATGTTAAGTGCTATCCTGAGTGGTTATAGCTTGAGGTTTCAGGGCTCATGGAGAAAGTTGACATACAGAAGGATAAACTAGAATCTATGGGGAGTTTTTATCCTGAGACAGAACTTTATAAATGGCTTGTACAGGTCAGAGGGGAATGCAACATTTTCACATGCAGCTTGAAAGGTGTGAAATTCGTTTTGGCAAGCAAAGAAAATGGTTCTGGGGCTGTTATTTTGTTCAGTGTATGTCTTGGGGATGATAGTCAGGTCAGGGTGAACCCAGATCCAGGCTTCTGAAAAAGGGGTTTGGTTTGAAGGCTGGTGAATTTCCCAAGTAGTTGCTGGGCAAGGCAGTGCTTTGCTTATGTGTTCCCCTTTCCTAGTCTGGGTGGGTGTTCTCAGACCCAGCGCTGCCATCTGAAGAGCACTGGCACAAATGGAGCCACCCCAGCTGTTCAGACAGCAGCAGCTGCCAGCAGTTTGTGGAGATTCTCTGGTGATGGCAACAGGGAGAGATCTTGGCAGTGTGTGAGCGTGGCTCAGCAACCTGCCATGCCCTGGCACGGTCTTGGAGCATAGACAGACGGAAGCTGCCTCTCACCCCTCAGCACACCACATGTTCCTGGGGAGCTTGGTACAAAATCATTCATGGGTGGCCTGATTCTGTCAGGCTGGGTGCAGAAAAGAGCAGCTGCCTTGCTGTGATGTGCTGGTTGGCTGGTGGTGGTGGGACTGGGAGCCGTGGTGGGGATAGTCATCTGTGGCTCCCAGTTCTGAATTGAGCACAAGCACCCACTGTCTTGCCTGCTGCAAGACATTTCCCAAAAGTGTTTGGCTGTATCTCCTGGTTCCGTCTGGGGAGCCGTTCTGGAGGGAATGTTGTGCTTACTCACGTGCCCTGATACCAGAGATACGAATGCTTAGGTAGTGGGTATTAGCATGCACTGTTAGAGGTGCAGCTTGCCTACAGCTGTGATGATTTGTCGAGGGAGTATTGCTGCCTCCTGATGATGAATGGCAGGATGTATCTCCTAGCAGTATCTATAGGAGACAGGAAGATTTGGGTCTCCATGTACCCTTAGCATTCCCTTTTCTTCTGTGGGATCTCTCAGCAGTGGCTGAGCCCTTTATCCCAACCCTTTACATCCTTTTACCTGTCTTCTCATCTTCCTAATTGTTTTCTTGTCCACCCTGCCCAGCTGGTGGAGTTGGAGGAGTTTGCAGCTGCTGTGAAGGAGAGCGCAGAGGCTGTGGAGGAGCGGCAGGAGACCGATTCCATTCCTCTGGTTGATGACATCCGCTTCCACATCACCAGCAACGTGCAGACTTACAGTGCCATCGAGGAAGCCAACCAGAAACTGGAAGCTCTGGAGAATCTCCTGGCCAGTATAGGGCTTGAGTGCTGAAGTGGGCAAACCCTGCCTGTGAGATTCAGCCTTCGTAGCTCCCGCTGCATTGGCCTGGAGTGCAAGAACGTCCGAGGCTCTGAATGTCTCTGGTCCCCTTCTTTGTCCCTCTTCCCATCCACTTTCAGGCATGGTTTCTTTTTAGTTTATTTGTCTGAACATCTGCATATATGGTTTGTGATTGGTTTTATTTTGGTTTTTGTTTCTCCTTTCAGAAGTAGCTCCCAAGGCTCAATCTGAATCAGTAGCTGCTCCTTTGTACAACGCACTGTGGATAGGAGACTGCAAGCTGTTGGGGATGGCAAGGGAGCTGTTCTGGGGGACTTCCTGTGCCTGGTGTTAGGACCCATCCTGTCTGTTGCCCAGTAACACACTTCTGAAACTAGTTTATGCCAGGATGCTTGTTAAATTACCACGAGCAGAGGAAGAAAACTGAATTAAACTCTCCAAATAAGTATATTGGAAGGGAGGTGGCCTTTCCTTCACTGTCAACATTATCAGGTAGTCAAAGATAGGCAGTACTTCCTTAATAGGGGCACAGGAGGACTTAACTATGTGGAAGGCACTATCTTCACCTACTAGTCTAGTTCTTAGACAAAAAGAACCCCAAAGCGATTTCCTTTTCATTGCTTTGAAGTGCTCAGAATTTAAAAGCTTTGCGTGCTGAGCAGACATCTTTGGGAATACAGTAGAGACCAGAATCCTTCCATTCTTAGAAAGCAGCAGCTTTCAATGCATAAAAAAGGGAGAGCACCCATTTTCCTCTTCACGGGGCAAGGAGTCACTGTCTTGGAAACAGCACTTTCCCCTTTCTTTTTGTCTATTGTGGTAGAGCAAAACTGACTTGCTGGTGGGTCAGGGAAGAGGGGTCACCAGAAATCTTTTTTTAAATAGAAAAAAGACCTTTTGGGTCTCTTGCAGGGCAGCTGTCCCACTCATCATCCTCTCTCGGCTTTGCTCAGCCTTGAGCCTTGTAGCTTCATTGTTCTCCAGGAAATTCACTGTTTGTACTAACGAATGTATTTTGTGTCTGTGTTCTGCAGTAGGTCGTGTTATCTGGTCTTGTCTCCCTGGACTCCTAGCGAGGGCAATGATGTTCCTTCTCCTTGGCGCCACTCGGGAGGCGGTACCCCTGCGTGCAGCCCGCCTTGCCAAGCAGGCTGCCCCCCGAGCTGTTCCCCCCCGGGGTGGCACTCGAGAGGCCCGAGCCTGAGGCCCGGCGGGGGCGCTGCGGGCGGGGAGG